CTCTCAAATCGTAATCTTTTGAATTCCTCATCACCTCTATCTCTCTCGTTTTAAGTTCATTTCACTTGGATCTACTTGTTGAATAATATTGTGGTGGCCAGTGTCTCAACGTGAACTGATGTACATGAGAAGACTGAGGCAGGCGCGGAAGATTGTATTGTGCAAATTACACTCTTAGTCAATTAAAAACGAACACATTACATTGAACACTCTATTTGCACACCATCTTTGAGTCGTGACTTTCAACGCTCCAGCCTTCTTCCATTCCTGCTGTTGCTTCCTTTACTTCCTGTCGGTACTCCATTTACTTCTTGCTTTTGCTCCATTTGCTTTCCGTTTTCCTCTTCTGACCGTGAGACTTCTTCTTTCACGTCCCTTCTTATACTACTTATATCGTTCGTATAAGTAGCACACACCACATACGTACGTACAAAGTTCTACGTTGTAAGTAACTAACTGACTTAGTAATAAACTTGTCATCGTAATAATAATAATAATAATAATAATAATAATAATAAATGCTTTTATTGTTATACTCACTTTTGTTTTCTTTCACATCTCTCACCTGTCCAGTCATTAATTCTATATCCGGATGTTAGTGGCGGTTTATCAACTGGTGTTTGTAGTATGGCTTTTTCACATACCTATACATATAAACAAGACAATTCCACTTCTTATCCTTTATTGGCTACAATATGTGATCGACCTGATTGGAGTACATTACGTGTATGGTGTATCAATAGTAATAATCATCATCAGAATCATAGTTCAAAATCATTTCCACTTTCAAATGATATTAAAACAAAGCATTCAACATTCAATGCTCGACAACAACAACCGATCAAATTAAAAACTGCCATTTCAAAACGAACTACTAATCATGAACGAGGTGTTCGTATGAAAACTTTCTTGGCAAATTTCAATCATGATAATAATCACAATAATCATAGTAATAATAATAATAATAATAATAATAATTCACTTAAAATTCAAGATGAAATTTTATTTAGTCAATCAATGGAAAAGTATCCATATGCCATTGCTACTTATAGTTCATCATCATCATCCAGTGGGGGGACTTCATCAACAACACCACCACCTTCACCAACGAATAAAGCAGCGGCAACTTCAGCATCAGCAGCAGGAGTAGTAGTAAGTGATTATTAAAAATTGTTGTGAGTGAAATTCAACCAGTTTTATTGAAATCATGAATCAGTGAGTCAGTCAGCAAGCAGGTGATGACAGCGAAGAGGTAACGGCAAGTGGTGCCTGTTTTTACTAGTCCTTATTGTCTCGTTTAGTTGGACAGCGCATAAGTGACTATCTAATGGGATCCAGTCTAAGAGAGAGCTAGTTCTGCTTTAGAACTTAATTTTACTCGTACACCAGCGAGGCTAAGGGAACCAGCGTCAGAGCTTCCAGATACATGAAGCGTAAATCGAAATGGTTATTTAGTTCGACATGGTGAAGTCAAATATATCACTGTACTCGAATCCTGTATACGCGTTTTGGAGGTGCAACAAACAACGATGGTGTGAGATTCCGGATTCCTAGCTAAGAAAGCTTGTTGTCCGATTTGACACACGGTCCGGGCATTAAAAGCTCCACTATGTAGTTTGGAGTATGATTTCAGGAGACTAGGAATAAAATTTTGTGTGCCCGAATCGTTTGCATCAGCAGCTCCAGGTGATGAAGGAATATGAGAAGGGCTGGTCGTGGAGATAAGAGAGTTATTAGAAGTTCGGTTGGGTCATCACGACATTCAAGCTCGACCACCAAGTCAAGGTAGCAGCCACTGTAGGTGAAATCATGAATCGATCAATTGTAGACCATTATTAGAAACCTAGAAGTACTTAACGGCCATTCCATTCTGGTATAAGACTCACCAGTGATGCACATCCACGACTGTGCAAGTGGGAGTCGAATCCAAGACTTACGGCCTGGTGCACGATCGCTTAACTTGTTAACCACTGCGGTCCATTCTTAGTTGTGTATGTTAGTCGCCTAAATATAGTCATCATGACACAAGTTTATATCGAGTAGATGAAATGTTGACGAGATTGATGTTAAGTCCTACTTCAGACTCGTCAACTGTGAATGTGTTTCGATTTTAGTGTTAATTTTCACTCAGGATGCTAGAATAACTGCATGACACTTCATAGTGTATAAATTTAAAACAATGTAATGTGCCATAAAAGTTGTGGGTTTGATACTTACTCTTTTTATTATACCGTTTATGTGACTATTAATCGAGAATATCCAGTTTATCCACTATTATTATTGCTAGATAAATCTCAACCAACCGTAGCTGCTACCTTGACGTGGTCTGGCTTGCCTATTATGATGATACAGCTGAGTTATAATGACTGGAACATATGTTCTTTAGGTTCTACCATGCCGGGCAAGTCGATTGAAGAATGTTGAGACTAGAAACAGAAACTTAAGGTCTGATGACGCTGTCGTACTACTGACTGTAGAGGAGGGATGTGACAGCAGTAAGGTATCCTCATTGTCTTCCATACCGAGGCATTTGGAGGCACAGTTATAATATCAAATAATGTCCCGATCGTTTTTTTGTAAGTTTGTTAGACAGACAGACAGATACAACGCAGAACTTCGTACGTACGTACATCAGTTCTAGTTGCCATGCCTCATCAGCACACAGACGCAACTGTCAGTTCAAATCCAAGAGTGATAGCAATAATAGAAGTATTAGCAGTAATGCAGAAGATTAGGGAGCGAAGATATGATTCGAGAAGAATAATTCAGTGAGATAAATTTAGAAGGAGAAAGGTAGAGATTATGAGGAATTCAGAAGGTTAGAATTAGTTGAGAGAACACAAAGAGTGGATGTACCTGCGCCATTGCAAACGATTTTGTGCCATGTCGTTCAAGGTCTCTAACCATTGGTGACTTTCGTCTTGCGGACCCCAACCAGGTAGTCTACATCTACCAACATCACTCAGACCACTTGTCAGTGACTTCATGCATTTGTGCCATGTTTTGGTTCGGCCACCCCTAGCTTTCTTCCAACCTACTCCTAAATCACAAAACATAGTTCGTCGAGGCAATCGGTGGTTGTGCATTAGTAACACATCTCCTAACCACCTCAACTGATAAAGTTTCACTACTTCATCTATTGATTTGCCATCCCTACCTAGCACCCGTTTCCTAACGACAGCATTGCTTATACGGTTGTTCCATGATACACTAGAAATGCTTCGGAGACATCGATGATCGAAGACTAGTAGCCAGTCATCTTTTGAATTAATCAACTGATTTGAATGATGCTGTTTGTCACCCTTGTGCTCCATTAGGGGTAACAGGCGTTTAATTAAGTAAATAAGCAATGCAGAGAATTTTTTAAAATGTATTGTATTGCATAACTGTTGACATGTTATATTGTCCTTGTCATCACTATTACCGTCTTACAAGTATATCTGTAGTAATTTTTTTACTTTCTTGAATTAACTGTTAAATTTCTTTCTGTGTTTTTCTTTTCCAAACAAAAAAAAATTCTTTAGACATCAGAACGTTCATCTGATCGTTCTCATTATCGTTTTAGACATTGTCAATTTATGAAATATTCACCCAATTCTTCAATATCATCAAATCACCTATCGTCATCATCATCATCATCATCATCTCCGGAAGGTTTAAAGATTAGTAAAAATCATACGGCTGAATCTATGCTTGTCACAACTATTCAACCATTGTGTGCTAATCGTCGAAGTTTCAGTCGTTTAGTTGTATGGTCAGTACCGCATCCTTCAGAGACGGTAACCTGTGATTCATCTTCATCCTCCTGCTCATCATTATCAAATAATCATATTAAAATGTATCAACCAATTCAGTTGAATATTTTTGCAGAAACTACTTTTCCTCAAGGACATTTACCTGCTTGTCTAGCTGTTCATCCAAGTCGATCACGTGGTTTAATTGGAGTAGGCACTATGGAAGGACGTGTTGATGTGTATTTGTAAGTTTTTACTATCGTGTAGATTTGTATCACTACATGTTAGTTATGCATGTACGTTTCATTATGTGAGAAGATAAAGAGAGTATTTCTGGTGGCTGTTTCAAATTCGAATTACGGCTCACCAATTTTTATGACTAACACCTTTACATATCTGGGCAGCAGCATCGACGAGCAAGGTGGATCCGATGCAGATGTGAGGGCGCGGATTGGCAAAGTGAGGGCTTCATTTCTACAGTTGAAAAATATCTGGAACTCCAAACAACTTTCAACCAAAACCAAAATCAGGATTTTCAATACAAATGTGAAGACAGTTCTGCTGTATGGAGCGGAAACTTGGCGAACTACGAAAGCCATCATCCAGAAGATACAACTGTTTATTAACAGTTGTCTACGCAAAATACTTCGGATTCGTTGGCCAGACACCATCAGCAACAACGAACTGTGGGAGAGAACAAGTCAGATTCCAGTGGAGGAGGAAATCAGAAAGAAGTGGTGGAAGTGGATAGGACACACACTACGAAAAGCACCTAACTGCGTCGCGAGACAAGCCCTCACGTGGAACCCTGAAGGCAAACGGAAAACAGGAATGCCAAGAAACACATTACGCCGAGAAATAGAGAAAGACGTGAGAAGAATGAACAAGCATTGGACAGAACTGGAGAGGGAAGCCCAGGACAGAGTTGGTTGGAGAAAACTGTTGGGCGGCCTATGCTCCATTGGGGGTAACAGGCGTAAGTAAGTAAATAAGTATGTAATTTTTATGACCCGCGACATGACTCCAGTTTGGATGAATGATCGAGTATACAATGAAATAAATCTTCCTTTCCACTTCTATATGTCATACTTAGGTGGTTATTACAACAATACAGTTTAGTGAATGCATTGATTGACAAGGTTGAAAGATGAGCGAATAATGATTCAAACAGAAAAGGTTAATTAGTTTGTTCCCAAGGCTGAGACAAGCCCTCTGATCTCAATAAACTAGTTTACACACTATACTCTTAGTAATAAGGGAATTTCAGTAGATTCCCATGATTAGTAGTTGATTGTAAAACCAATATACTCAGTAAAAACTCATAATTTTGTGAATATGTTTCATTTTCATCAGAAAGCGTACTTGGTTTACGGATAATCGTTATGTAGTCAGACACTTTAATGTCGAATTCGCCGCATTGGTAAAATTCCTTGGTGATATCTATATGTGCAGTTAGTCAGGTTTTTTATTATGAGGGAATGACATTTTTAATTAAGGATTGTTAATTTATCTTAATTTATTGTATAAATCTCTCTTGTTACGTAGGCGAGATATCCGTCTCTTGACAAGGAGCACGAGTCCAGCGCATAGCAATTCGCTCCGTCCTATTCTGCGGGTGTTAAACACGGTCAGTAAGAAGCGAGGATATTCGTAGGTCACTGGTATTTGGTCCTCAGTGTCTTAGAAGCATTGCTTGTTTATCGTGGGATAATCGGTTAGGCAATGCTGGAGCTAGAAAAATGTGTTAGTTACGGATGGCCGATCAATAAATGAATTGGTGAAACTTCATCAGTTGAGGTGGTTGGGACATGTGTTACGAATGCCTACTCACCGACTGCCTAGGCCAGCTATGTTTTGTAGTGCAGGGGTAGGTTGGAAGAAAGCTAGAGGCAGCCAGACCAAATACATACCACCAGACCATGAAGTGACTGACAGTTGAACTGAGTCATGTTGGTAGGTGTAGACTACCTGGGGTTGAGGTCCAACAGAAAATAGTAACCGATAGTTAGAGATCTTGAATGACATGGCTGAAAATCATTTGCAATCGCGTAGATGCATCCATTCTTTGTCTCCTTTCAAATTCTGATCTTCTGAATTCGTTATCACCGTTATCTTTCTCTTCTGAATTTATTTCACTTGGATATACTTATTGAATAATATCTTGGATCCCTGATATTCTCCATTACCGCTAATACTTCTGCTACATCTACCACTATGGGACAATTACATCTCTGTGTGCTAATATGGTGGTATGGCAACTTTCAGACAGACAGACAGACGCAACGCAGAACTTCGTACATAAGTACATCAGTTCAGGTTGCCATACCACGTCAGCACAGAGACGTAACTGTCAGTTCAAATCCAAGAGTGATAGCGATAGTAGAATTATTACCAGCAATGCAGAAGATTAAGGATCAAAGATATGATTTGAAAAGTATAATTCAGTGAGATAAATTTAGAAGGAGAAAGATAGAGATGATGAGGAATTCGGAAGGTTAGAATTAAAAATCACACAAAGAGTGGATGCACCTGCGCCATTGCAAACGATTATGAGTCATGTCGTTCAAGGTCTCGAATCATTGGTAACTTACGTATCGCGGACCCCAACCAAGGTAGTCTATATCTACCGACATGACTCAGTCCAGTTGTCAATGACTTCATGGATTTCTGTCATCTTTTGGTCTGGCCGCCCCTAACTTTCGTCCAACCTACTCCTATACCACAAAACAAAGCTCGTCGAGGCAGTCGGTGGTTAGGCATTCGTAACACATGTCTTAACCACCTCAACTGGTGAAGTTTCAATAGTTCATCTATTGATCTGCCATTCGTACCTAGCACCCGTTTCCTAATAACAGCATTGCTTACTCGGTTGTCCCACGATACAGGAGCAATGCTTTGAAGACACCTACCATCGAAAGCCAGTAACCTGCGAATGTCATCTACTCTTATCGGCCATGGTAGGACGGAGCGAACTACTTCACAATACACTCGTCCTTGAGTCAGCAAACGGATATCTCGCCTGCGCCATAACTGACGCAAGTTGGCAAAAGTCAATCGAGCCTTCTGTATCCGAGCTGAGATTTCGTCAGTCATCAGGCCATCAGCACTGATGAGACTTGCACTGATATACGTGCGTACGTAC